TGCACCCATGAAATCAAGGACAGAATGCTGAGCCCGTGGGGACAGCTCTCACCTCCCTCTGCTCCAGCCCAAACTGCCTCCACAATGCAAATGGCAACTCTTGACCCTCGGTGGGTGCAGGCCAGGACGGGCAGGGGGGCTGTGAGTGCTTTTTGGGGTTTGCACAAGGCACGAAATCCTGCAGCACAGCTGGGAAGCTCCCCAGGCTGCAGCAGCACCAGACAATGCCATTTCCTCCCAGAACACTGAGCCCTGATGAATGTGACCTCTCCAGGTGCCAAATCCTGCCCCTGCACGAGGGGTTTGTGCTGGCAGCCGCAGCACAAATGCATTCAGAGCACGTCTCGTTTGTCATCTTTTCATCAAAAAGTGTGCAAAGCCTCTCCCCAAAGCACAGAGCTGTTTTACAGCCAGGCTATAAAACCCTGCAGACTCTCCACTCCAATGGAATTACATTAGTGCCAATAATCTGGCAAATATCAGGAGGGAGTTTAATCAAAAGAACCAACAGCAGGGCCCTGATTTACAGCAGCCCATGACAGAGAGGGGTGGACGAGGGTTTGCAGGACCCAGATGTGGAATTTCACTTGCAACATCATTTGGAGCAGAGGGAAAGCAGAAGGAACTGGAAGCAGGGCTTCAGCATGCTGGGAGCTCTTGGTGATTTCTCAAAAACCAGGGAGAAAAGAGGAACTATTCGTCCTTGTCCGAGTCTGAAAAATGAACATGGAAATTCCCTATACCCCGAGTTTTGTTGCTTCTAGGGCCAGCCCCCCACCAGGGGTGTGCCCAGGACGGGGGTGTGATGTGTCTGCCAGGACAAATCGGTGGCAGTGCCACCAATCCTAGGCTCCGCTTGGTGGCAGTGGCCACCATCTCAGGGTCTGCTCTGGTGGCAGTGCCACCATTCTCAGACTCTGCTCGGTGGCAGTGCCACCATTCTCAGGCTCTGCTCTGGTGGCAGTGCCACCATTCTCAGGCTCTGCTCTGGTGGCAGTGCCACCATCCTCAGGCTCTGCTGTCTGCCATGGGTGTTGCCCCCTCCACCTCCTGTGCCCCAAGTTCCCAGGGGGACCCAGCAGCAGGAGCAGAGAGGATCCGTCTCCCCTGGCCCAGCCTCCAGGGAATGAGCTCTCAGCTCTAAGCTGGTCACGCAGCTCCCTCTATAGTCACTGGAGAGAGACAGGGACTGGTGCCACTGTCCCTGTCACCGGGGGGCTGCTTGGCTCCCCCAAAGCCAGAGGGGTTTGGGTTCTGCCTCACTCAATGCCTGCGACTGGGTGGGGAAAAACCCTTTATGTGCACCCATGAAATCAAGGACAGAATGCTGAGCCCGTGGGGACAGCTCTCACCTCCCTCTGCTCCAGCCCAAACTGCCTCCACAATGCAAATGGCAACTCTTGACCCTCGGTGGGTGCAGGCCAGGACGGGCAGGGGGGCTGTGAGTGCTTTTTGGGGTTTGCACAAGGCACGAAATCCTGCAGCACAGCTGGGAAGCTCCCCAGGCTGCAGCAGCACCAGACAATGCCATTTCCTCCCAGAACACTGAGCCCTGATGAATGTGACCTCTCCAGGTGCCAAATCCTGCCCCTGCACGAGGGGTTTGTGCTGGCAGCCGCAGCACAAATGCATTCAGAGCACGTCTCGTTTGTCATCTTTTCATCAAAAAGTGTGCAAAGCCTCTCCCCAAAGCACAGAGCTGTTTTACAGCCAGGCTATAAAACCCTGCAGACTCTCCACTCCAATGGAATTACATTAGTGCCAATAATCTGGCAAATATCAGGAGGGAGTTTAATCAAAAGAACCAACAGCAGGGCCCTGATTTACAGCAGCCCATGACAGAGAGGGGTGGACGAGGGTTTGCAGGACCCAGATGTGGAATTTCACTTGCAACATCATTTGGAGCAGAGGGAAAGCAGAAGGAACTGGAAGCAGGGCTTCAGCGTGCTGGGAGCTCTTGGTGATTTCTCAAAAACCAGGGAGAAAAGAGGAACTATTCGTCCTTGTCCGAGTCTGAAAAATGAACATGGAAATTCCCTATACCCCGAGTTTTGTTGCTTCTAGGGCCAGCCCCCCACCAGGGGTGTGCCCAGGACGGGGGTGTGATGTGTCTGCCAGGACAAAGGGCATCCTGCCCCCCTGCCCGCCGGGATGAGCCCAGCCAGCCCCTGGAGGAGGAGCAGCGGCACCACCGGGCTCCTCCAGCCCAGGATCCACGGCTGGGGCAGGGATCAGCTGCAGTCTGAGCTCGGAATGCCAGGGGAGCCCTGGCTTGGTGTCCCAGGGACTGCCTGACCACCCACCCGGAGCAGCCACATCCTCCATGCCCAGCTCCAGCCTGGCAGGCCCTGGCACACACCCAGCATTGCCACTCCGTGCAATATCCCTGCTCCATCTGTCATCAATTCACTGCCTGTGGTTTGCAGCCTCCTTGCCACGGCCTGCCTGGCATGGCTCTGTCCCAGGGCATCTCTGGCCACTGACAACTTCCAGGCTTTTATCGTTTTTGCAAGGAAAGCCCCTGGAAGCAAACAGAGCAAAGCATCTGGCACGGCTGGATCATTGTTAGCCATCAGGGAAAGCCATCCTTACACCCCAGCTCCTTATGCCTTCACCTGCACTGCTCATCTCAACTTCAGACCATTAGAAAAGTCTTTTATGTATTAATTATTAAAGGTTTGGCCGTTGGAAACACAAGCAGCCCTGAGCTGGGCAGGGGGTGTTGCCCAGCTCTGCTTTCTGCTCACCTTTTGCTGCCTGAACCTCACCCATGCCCTGCAACACGTGCAAAAGTTTGTGGAATTCTCCTTTTCTCCAAGTTAAAAAGATGGAGACATTGTGCAAGCATTTCTGCAATGTCATCTTTTGCATAATTACCCAAACCAATCATTTCAAACAATGCAACTCCAGCCTCTTTAATTTGCTGATGTTGGATGTGTTGTGAGCGGAGGCACCTCGTGCATGGGATGGAGTGGGAGATGAGGAATGCAAGGCACAGGAGAGGCAGCCTGGCTGGATGTGTCACTTAGGCTGAATAAATGGAGTTGAATTAATGAAAAAATGCCTCTGGCAGCTCTTTCATGGAGCCTTTGCTGTGAGATCACCAGAGACCTTGCTGGGGTGGGTGAGAGCCACGAGCTCCTCAGCAGCTCCCAAAGCAGCAGGGCTCTCTGAGATGCTTTTATTTAAATTTATTACGTGTGGGACATGATCAGAGTGATGTGATGGATTAAAGAATCAGGTTTTATAGAGGAAAATGTAGGGAAAATATGGTTCTGCTGGGTGCAGGCAGTGATGAGGGAGGTGTCAGGAGCTCAGGATAGTTAATTCCTTAATTTTAACCACGTTCAGTCAAGATGAGGCTCCGGGAGTGTTGGTTTGGTGAGAATGTAAATGAATGTTGTTACCAATGGAGAGGTGGCTGGAGCTGTTAAATGGAAGGGTTGGGTTTAAACCTGCCTTTTTCCAACAATGATTTCAGCACAAGCCCTGAGCGAGGAGGGAAAACCGGAGGGGACATAAACCCTGCTGTGTGACAGAGCTCTGCAAAAGGAGTTTTCAAAGGGATGCTGCTGCTGAGGGAAACTTCTTTTCACTGCTGTGGTAGGGATGGTGGATTTGCCCCCACAAAACCCCCTCAGGGCTGGGAAATCGTGCTGATGGGTGCTGCCTGTGCCCAGCACAGCCACCACAAACCTGATGGGCACAGGTCTGGCACAAACCCAGGAGGATTTAATAGAGAGACTGATCCTGCAAGTGGGGAACTCAGCCTGAAAACCTCCCAGGCCAGTGATGTCTTCTCAGTGCTTGCTTGGGGAAACTGAGGCATGGAAAACTCAGAGGTTTCCCACCTGCAGGTGCCACCCAGCCAGGTCTTTGGGCAGGGCTCGGTGCTGTCAGTGACACTGAAGGGCCAGGGGACAGCAAGGAGGCACAGACAGGAGAGGGGAGCAGCTGCCAGAGGTGAGCTGGGAAAAGCAGGAATGGGCACCTGGGAAATATGAAAAAATACCTCATTGGAATTGTTTTTACAAACTTCAAAAAGGGGGAGTAGGACTGTCTGAAAAAAGGGATTTCTTTTCTGCTATGGCAAAAAATGTCTGTTTTCAAGAAGGAAAAAAAAAAAACCCCAAAACAAAAAATTGAAAATGCTGGAGACCCCAAACTTCCCATCCAAAAATACCAATGTAAAGACAAAAAACTTTCCATTTCTTGTTGAAATGAGTCTTTAGAGAGAAAAGAGCTGAGCATTTCTGTGGGAAACCCCAGCATTTTCTAATCTGGCTTTTGAATGTTTGCTTGATTCCTTTCACTGCACCTCAGGTTCAGGATTTCCATCTCTTCCAGCAGCAGCTGAGAGTGAAAAGGGTTCATTTGCAGGATTTGCTCTTCTTGCTGCTCCCGCCCCAGCTGAATCCCAGCTCGCCTCCACGGCCACACGAGGAAACCTCAAAATACTCTGAGCTCAAAATAAACTCGTTTCCCCTTTTTCTGTTCTCTCCTCGTCCGGAGGAGTGACAAGTTCTGTGCGTGGGCTCAGCTCTGCCTGGAGGGTGGGAGCTGGAGACGGGGCTGGGGGAGGATGATTGAAATTCTACATCTCACCAGTGCCTGGGATTTTGTGTCCCCCTGCCCTTGCACAGTGATGTCCAGGTAGGAGCAGATGAAGCACCATTTGTAAGTGCCAAACCCTGAGATAATTTGAAGTCATCCTCAGCAGTGAGGGCTTCTATTTCCATGGGCTCGTCCTCAGCAGGAGGCTGGGGACAGCAGGGAGAGGTGGTGGCAGGGCATGTGGGTGGCCTTGTCCTCACCACGAGGCTGCAGAGGTGATGGCAGGGAACGTGGGGGCACAAGAACCCATCCCAAACCAAAAAAAAAAGCAATTTCAAAGGGGTTTGGGAGGGGCAGCAGCGGGAGGAGCTGGGCGAGAGGCAGAGCTGTGGCAGCAGCGGGGAAGGAGGAGCCGGCCATTCCCACCCCCAGCCCTGAGCCCGTACCTTTGCAGGCCTTGCGGTGCGAGATGGGCTTGCTGAGGTCGCGGTAGAAGCCCTCCTTGCAGTAGTGGCAGTGCCTGCCCGCCGTGTTGTGCCGGCAGTTGAGGCACACGCCGCCGCTCTTGCGCCCCGACAGCTTGAACAGCTCCATGTTGAAGCGGCAGCGCCGCGCGTGCAGGTTGCAGTTGCAGGCTGGGGGAGGCAAAGAGGGGACATTGTCACCATCGGTGCCCAAACAGGGAGCTGCCAACCCCTGGGTGCTGCTGCCAACCCCTCTGGGGGTGCCCTGTCGGACTGGGGGGAGGCCCTGGTGGCTCCTCGGGCTGTGGGAAGCCAGCTGCTCACCCACATCCTGAGCTGTGCTGAGAGGGGAGCCCATTGGTGGGGCCAGTGCCCTCCCAGCTTCTCGGAGGGCAAAACGGGGCTGCCAAGGCCGCATTTCACTGTCCTGACTTGCATTAATTATGGTTTTGCCTCCCCCCGATCTCAGGGGGGGTTACAGGGGACTGTGAGGATGAGCCTGTCTGTGGTCAGAGGACAGAGCACACAAACCCCTGTGGCACCTCCAGCTCTGTCACAAGCTCTGTCACTTTCCCCATGGAAGCACCGCTCATCTCCCTTCTCATCCACTCTCACTTTGTGTTGTTACTGCTCAGTGCAAATGTCCCCAAACTGCTGAGGGACCCCCACTTCCCAGCACCTCAGGAACCCCCTCAGTCCCTGTGGGAAGGGCTTTCCATCATCACCTGCCCGAGCTTCCCAGTTTCCCACTCTCCCCACTCCTGACACACACGTTTGAGCTCTGGATACTGTTCCAAGACCTTCCTAGCTGGTTTCTCCCTCAGCTTTCCACACCACAGGCTCTGTCGCTCACCTGCAGCCCTGACCATGCTGATAATTCCTCATTTCTGCCCCTGCATCCCCCATCCCACCTGGGACAGGCCCGGCCTGACGCCCAGTTAGCCAAATTCCAAAAGGTGCCCCCCTGCTTTGGTTGCTGCGACTGAGCTGTCCAATTCCTCCACCATATGCAGCCTAAAGTCAACACCGGGCCTATTTTAGCAGGGGGCCTTTGCAAAGGACAACTTCGGCACTTCAAAAGCTCGACCCCTCGCCCGCCTCTCCCCAGAGCTGTCATGGGGCCATCAGGACGCAGTTGCTGGGGCTCTGTGCTTTGCTGAGAATTTTATAGCTTGTTTTCTTTTCCCGTGGCTTTTATTTGCTCTTCACCCCGGAACAATGCAGCTGTGCCATGCCAGCCCACAGCTGGGCCCCTCGCCTCGGCACGGAGGTGTCACAGCTCCGGCCTTGTCACCTTCCCTCAGAGCAGAGACGTCTTAATCCCTCATTCCTTCCTGTTTACCTTATGGTGCTCTCCCAACACAAAGCCACGCTGTATTTGCTCAATTATCGAATTTCAGCCCAGAAAATGCCAGCGCAGCTCCGGAGCGTTTCTCAGGAACAATCCCCAGCTGACACACGCCGTGACAGCACAGGGGAGAGCAGCATCCCCCCGTCCCCGTGCCCCCAGCAGGACGGAGCCGCTGGCTCCGTGCTCTGCCGTCGGAATTCCTCGGGCTGACACGGACAGGCCAAACCTCACGTCCCCAAGAGCAGGAGCAGCAGCCACCGACGTGCTGATGGTGACAGGAGCGGCCTGGGAGCGCTCTGCCAGGCGTGAGGGACAGAGATTCCTGCCACGGAGCTGGGCCAGGGCTTTGAGCCGCGGTTTGGCCCTCCTGGGATGAGCCCAGCAGCCTGCAGGAGCTTTTGTCATCTCCCCAAGAGGACACAAGCGTGAGGGAGCCCGGAGACAGCGCTCCTGCCTCCAGAGGAATGGCTGTTCCAGGTCTGGCCCAGTCCCACATGTGCTGAAGCTGCACTTTCAGCAGCGAAAGCAGCACGGGAGCACGCACCAGGCGCTTTTGTGTGTCCCCTCGTGGCTTCCCCCTTCCATGGGAAGCTCAGGAAGAGCAGCCTGCTGTGCCCTGCTGCTCAGCTCTGCTTTCTCCTCATCCCACACGTGCTGAGCAGCCCCAGCCCGCACCACGGCTCCACCACACACAGGGTTTTAGAGGTGATTCCTGCCCTGCAGAATGCACTAGTAAAGCTTTTGGGAAGCAGAGGGGGTTTGAAATTCCCAGCCCTTGTTTTACAGAGGTGACCAAGCGAGGCTGAACCCTTTTCCTGGAGGTGTAGGACTCAGGGCTGGTTCCTGCCCTCAGGGCACAGGGCTGGGACACAGGGAGTGATCTCCTGGCCACACCTGACCCCCAAGGCAGCACCTGTACCCATGGCACAGCCTCTGGGCACGGCTCAAACAGAGGAAAAATACTTAAATCCCTCAGCCTGAGGGCTCTTGTAGGTTGTGACCATGTGGGCACATCTCCATCTTTCAAAGCCCTGAGGCTTGTGAGCAGCTCTGCCTTTGGTGCCACAAACCACAGGATTTGGTCCCTGCTGATCAGCATGAAAGGACATTTCTCCAGGGAGTGGCATGGCCTCACAGAAGCCTTAGTTCTCCTTCAGATCTGTCAGAAATGCTTGTTTTCCCAGGAGAATGAAAGCTCACCTCCTCCTAAAACTTGTATTTTAGGAGAGCTGGACTTGGCACTGGAGTATTTTGCAAGATTGCATTGGCAAATCCCTTTTTAAAATTCAAAGCTGAGCCCACACGAAGAGTGAGTGAAAATCTTTGCATTTCTTTGGGTTGCTTGATAAGCAGAAATGTTTTTGCAAAGCCAGGAAAACAGAACTCTGGGGATTTTCTCGAGTTCTTTGCTAACATTTCCACTGGTGCCACCAGAGCAGAGCTGCACAGGAATGTGGAGGAATAAGTAGAGTGTGCAGAGCTCCTCCCAGCTCTGCTCCCAGGATCAATTTTCCGTTGGTGTCCCAGGGACAGGAAAATTCTGAAGAAGCTGAACCTCACAAGAAGCTGCAAGGAGCTCCTAAAAACAGCCAACCCTGTCCTCATCCAGAGTCAACGACCTAAACACTGTGGATGCCTTGGGGGATGAACCCTCCAGGGAGGCAGTGAGGGAGCTGGGGAAGGCATGGTCTGCTCCAGCCCCGCTCCATGACCAGCACAGCCACAGCCACCACGGGGACCTCTCAGCTTGTGTTGGCTCCACCAGCTCAGCCTTGGTTCTGTTTCCTCCTGCCACTCCCAGGGCACTGAGGAAACAGCTGGAAACAGCTGGGCACTGATTTCCTCCCAACCCCATACCCCTGGCTGCTTTTCCAGCATCCACCCCTCTGATCCACCTGTTTCTGCAGTCAAAAGGGGCCAAACTTAGGGACAATGGCTTTAATTGCAATTACTGTGTCCTGTGTCCACCCCGAGGACCTGGGCTGGAGTGGCCAGTGCTGTGCACTGCTGGCCACCAGCCAGGGCAAGCTGGCAGCTCTGCCTGCAGCCTGGTGTGCCTGCAGAATGCCCAGTGGGAGAGGCTTGGCCTGGCTGAAGGAAAATCCCCATCCCATTTCTCCTGACAGTGGCACACAGGGATGGAGGGACTGAAGGAAAATCCCCCTCCCATTTCTTCTGGGGATGGAGGGACTGAAGGAAAATCCCCATCCCATTTCTCCTGGGGATGGAGGGACTGAAGGAAAATCCCCATCCCATTTCTCCTGACAGTGGCACACAGGGATGGAGGGACTGAAGGAAAATCCCCCTCCCATTTCTCCTGACAGTGGCACACAGGGATGGAGGGACGGGGGGAATGCAAGAAACGTCCCAGCCAGGCGTCACAAAGCCCGTGTGGGGCCAAGGCTGGGACATGCCGTGGTGGGATCTCTCTGGAGGAGCAGAGCAGAGACTGGGGGAATGCAAGAAATGTCCCAGCCAGGCGTCACAAAGCCCGTGTGGGGCCAAGGCTGGGACATGCCGTGGTGGGATCTCTCTGGAGGAGCAGAGTGTGGGCACTGCCTGGGCACATGGCTGGCCCCAGCAGCAGCTCGGGTGGTTTTGGATGCCAGCTCCAGATCCGTGCGTGTCCCCGGGGCGTGTGGCTCCTCGTTTCCCTGGACAGAGGCGCTCAGGAAGCGCTCCCGCCCTCCCTCTGCTCGGCCCGAGGTTAATCCCCTGCTGTGCCGGAGCCTTTTGCCTTGTTCCTAACATGACTTGGCCTGGCTTTAATTTTCTGCCACTGCTTCTTGGTTTGAATTTCCCTGAATTCAAGTGGCTCTTTAGCAACCCATTTTTTCTTTCTATGAACGCCTTTGAGGGCTGTAAGAAAAATCACCTCCCAGGACTGGCGTCATGTCCGTTCCTCAAGCTTTGCTTTGCACCTGGTGGAGACACCCCTGCACCCCTGCAGAGCCAGCTATGAGCACAGCCTGGCCAGGTGCTGAGGGCTCTGCGAGGAAGGGTTTTGGCTGCAGTTGCTCCAGCCCAGTCCTGCTGTCTCCCGCTCTCTTCCTTCCCTTGCTCTGCCAAGGACCTCACAAGCCTTTTGTTCCCTGACTTTATTGTGCACAGATGTGCAGAGCTCCATCAGAGCATCCCTACCTGAGCTGCCAGGCCCGGCTCTGGATAGCCAAATTTCATTTAAACACAGATGTTCCAAAACATGGAAGGGTTGAGGAGGGAAAGAGGAAAGCTGCGGTTTGGAGCCAGGTGGAGAAAACGCCGCGGAATCTTCTCCACGTTAAAACCAGCGACTTGGTCAAATGAATCCCTCAAGGAGGTCAAGGTGGGCAGGATTCTCCATGTGGGAGCAGGAAAGGAGGGGCACGAATGGAGGCACAGGCTGGGGCTGTGCTCTGGGAGCTGTGGTTGTGGTCTTTGTGCTGCCACCACGTCCCCAGCGCCCTGCGTCTCCCAGGACGAATTCCTCTCCGTGGTTTTCATTCAGCAATGACAATGCTGCCCTTTCAAAAGACCCCACCCTCCCAAAGCTTATATTTTGGCAATTTTTAAAATGCAAATTGCTTTTTAAACAAACGAAAGCCCCAAAACATTTTGTTTTAATTTTTGCAAACAATAATTTGGGGGAGGGGGGGAAGGAAAAGGGGAGGATGGAAGAATCCAGAGACTGAAAGTAATCTCTAAATTTGACTTGAATTTATGAACAGCCTCAGTCTCCTTAAAATTATCCTTTTCCCAAACAAGTTTTCTTTTCCCAGAAAATCACTAGCTCAGCTTGAGCCACTATTTCTCTTTTCAGGAGAAATCCTGACATGCAGGG